CATGCACATGCTTTCCTTCCCTCTCTAAACCATGCTTCACCCTCCTGCTTTTATTTATCTGCTCGCACCAAATCCCACCCAACGGTCAATCTGAACAGAGTTTTGTAAAACCACGAAGGGTTCTTCCTGCAAACGCTGCTGCTGGCTTGGACTCAAGCTGCCACGTCTCAGCTCTCCCTGATCCCAGGTCTGTTTGACACAGGGGCCACCAGGAGGGCTCCATGAGCGACCCTGACTTTGTGGTGGTGGACGGCGTTCCCGTCATGCTGCCTTCCTACGACGAAGCCGTAAGCAGTGGCTTGAACGCCCTGGCGCCCGGATACGCTGCCGCCGCAACAGACCGAGGGCACCTTCTTCAGGCAGAAGACCAGAATCCGCCAGCGTATCCCGGTCCCAGGACCGCAGACCCGCTGCCCAGCAGATTTGAGACCTGCGGTGGTGTACCGGGCTCCTCTGAGCTCCTCCAAAGCCTGTGCTCGCCCGCAGCGTGCCAGGCGGGCACCCTTCCGGACACGGGCAGGACAGACACATCCCACAGCGCTGCCGGGGAGGCGGCATCCGCGAGCCCACGGGTCGACATTGCCGACGGTGAGTGCCTGTCGAGGAGCAGCAGTTGCTCGTCCCTCCTTTCAGAGCACAGATAGGCACCACTGACCCGCTCTTACACTCTCTGTGGTTTCACCAAGTTTGTATCGCGATATGGACACGTGGAAAAACCTGCTCTTCAGTCATAGCAGTGCGTGTTGGTGGTGTCCCCTTGCTAGCTGCGGTGCCATGTTGGGGCTCATGTTAAATCAAACATGAGCATCTATTGATACCACCTCGTTTAGTGCTAGCAGAAGCCTCTGATGTGCTCCTCAGCATGTTCAGAAAGGAAGAGAGGTTGTCCTGGAAACATTTGAAAGGCTCTGTCTAGTCTTACAAAAGAGTATCTGTATGATTTGTCAGCCACGGAGCTGAAGGCTAATGAGTGAAGCTCTGGGTGGAGGAGGTCCTCCCGCATCATGGAGCTGGGACAAGCCTTTAATGGCATCGTGAGGTGAAGAGGGGAAAAGAAGACACTGTGATAATAGCAGTAAAAGTCTCTGGATACCTTGTAGATGCTGACTCAGTGACTAATACAGTAGAAAGGATGTTTTGCATTTATTCTTTTGTGGGTTTGGGAAAATATGGGTGGCGTTAGTAGATGAATTTCATGTAGGCCTTATATCAAAAATGAGGGTAGAACAGGAAGCAGCATGTATTGCTTAGATTTTTGCAGTGAGCTTTTACAAGCTGGCAAAGTTAATAATACTTGGCAAGTGTAAAGGGAAGTTACAATCAGTAAACATTCTTTTCAGTAATCAGTAATTCATTCTTTTTCTCTAGAAATCCCACTGATGGAAGAAGAGCCTTAGCCAGCACAGAGAGGTGTCACCATGGCTTCGCCCCCTCCAGTGAAATGAATCAGGAGCATTTAGAGATAGAAAAGACTATCAAAAGATTTGGGGAGGGTCTCTTCTTAATTATCAATCTTCCACAGGACAATGTCACCAGGTTGCGTGCACATCTTCACCCACAGTGGGATAACAGCATCAGCATTTGGAACAGCAGTTTTATGAGTGAATCCTGGGGATTTGATGAGAGCAGATGTAGAAGAAGAACTGTGGCTTTTTAGAAATGAAATGTATATCTGCATCGCAGAAAGTCATATGGTTCTGTAGAAATACTGTTGGATTTTGATACTAACTGCCTCACAAAAGCATGTCAAAGTATGTATATTTGCTTATAAAGACTGCTTTAAATGATCTATGGACCTCTAGTTTATGAAGAATCATTATAAATTGAAAAAAAAAAGAAATGCAGAAAGAGGAAAAGATCCTCTTTGACTTTCCTATGTTAACCAGGAAACTTTTGATTTAGATGTTGGTGAATTTGTTTCAGACCATGTCTGCAGAGAAATAAAACAGAAATGATGGGATTCATATATACTTTGATGTATGATAGCAAATATATAAATATATATATATATATATATTTAAAAATAATTAAAGAGAAAGAAAAAGAAAGACTCCAGGTCGTATCGTGATCTGGAGATTTTTTTAAAGGTAAGGCAAAATTTATATCATATACAATATTCAAGGTAAAGTATTGATATTTGTATTTATGCAAGACTTATGTGATTGCATTGCATTTGATAAATCCTGCTGTAATACGAAAGATCTATAAAGTGTTAAAATTCTGAAATATTTGCTTAATAAATGTTGAATTGTCATGTTTCAACATTTCTTAAGCTCATAAATATATATACATAAATCATCTACAGTCATAGCCCAGAGCACTGCCTTGTCCCTCTCCTTTGTGGTAGTATTCTGAGCTGTTATTGTAGAATACTTTTTAATAAAATAATAAAGTTCCGTTTCAATTCTTTTGACTTATCACACTGTGTCTAGTTGCCCTTTCTTTCACTCAGTTCTTCGACTAGCTCCCACCTGAAAGCTCAGATGGCAGCAGAGCACCTGGTTAGTGGCATTCTGGGCCTTAAGTTCAATATCTAGAGACAGGCAGATTGTTTTCTTTTAAGCAGAGGACATGAGATGAGTGCAGCAGTGACTGAGCTTTGGTGGATGCTCCTGTTGGCTTTTCTTCTCTCCTTTGCATGCCATGCTGCAGCATGGTGTTAAATCCTGTAGGAATGGCCCACCTGTCTGGTATTACAGACTATTTATTATTTGTCAGGGCTATTTACTGAAAGCCAAGGAGATTTTCCATCCTATTTTGATATTGTACTAATTAAATGTATGTTAAACTGGCAGTGCTTTAAGGAAGAACTCACCATATCTTAACTGATAGATGCCCTCATGCGGGCTAATCCAAACAAAAGAGAAAACAAGAGATCAAGTTCTGCTTTAATGCATAAAGTAAACCAATAATAAACCAATAATATCTCTGTAGCTATACACAGAGGATTGTGTCACTACAGGTTGCTCTGTTATTTCTTCATCGTTTTTAATTATTTATTTATATTGCGGTAGTATCTAATGGCCCCACTCATGAGCCAAGATAGTAATGTGATAGACACTCTATCTAGGCAAATATTCAGCTACATGATTATGGCAACTCTATATGACAGCAAGAAAGAAATGGAGACAAAAATTAGACAGCACTGTATAACCAAGAGGCAATTATTAAAATACTTCCAACTATTCAACAGTAGCATAGATGAGAATGAAGCGATTGTATGAATATTCCATAGTCTCCTCCATTAGTGCTTAAAGATGAGATGCAAAATTTTCAGAAGGAAATGTCTCAATTGCAGTTGCCTTGCCAGATTTATCTCAGAGCCAGATCAACTGGGTATTAGCACTTTCTTTGCCACCCCTTTCTTTTCAGGTCTCAAGTTTCTAGCTGAATTTTCACTACAAACTGAAGTTCAGTGTTGCCACCCCAGCAAGAAATATATGAGTGCTGTAATACTAACTGTGAAGGACCTCTCAGGCATACGGTCAGTTATTTTGTTTTCATAATGTCATTGAAAAGTATTGAACTTATTACAGATGCTTATAAAATATTATGAAATCTGTCTTTTCTGGACTTTTAATAGCTTCTAAAATTTCATTCTTTATGAAATTTCTGGACTTCTAGTTATTAATTTCTGTTGTGAAAGCTTCTGATTAATATTTGGAGCTCTACAGATTTACACTGCTGTGTGCATTGTATTGGAGACATTCTTCTAAGGGAACCAGACAACATGACTCAATAAATGTAACTTTTATGGCTTATTAGACCATTTTTTATTTTAAAAAGTTCAGAACGGCAAGTATATTGGAAAATGTTAATAAATGAATATTGCTTCATAGTCCTTTGATAGCACTGTCCTAAATATAATTTATAAGACTGAAAAATGGAATTTTACCAGAGTTTGTTTATGTTGTATAAGACTTCCTCAGAGGGTGTTTGGGAGGGATGGATTTTCTGGTACAATTGTCTTAGGGATTTTGCATGCTTGAATATTTTGGGGGAGAGATGGGACTATTTCTGCTTTTTCGATGCACTGGGCTGGCATTCTGGAGGAAGCTCTGCTGGTGGCTGAAGTTCTCCCTACAGAAAGCCACGTCTGGTCCACTTTGTTTGCCTTTGGAAGACCTTTCTCAGACTGTGTAAGAGCCCTGAGCGCATCCTCTCCTGTGGGAGGTTTGGCTACAGAGGCTCAGGACATGCTCAGCAACGGTGCAGGATCTGCATCCTGACCCATGGGCTGACCCATCCCTGTCCACAGAGAGGTGCCTGAGGATCCGTAGGGCTTTGGTGGAGGAAGAAAAGGGTATGTTGTGAGAACACCAGGAAAAAAAAACAACCAACCACCAACAACAGAAAATCAAGAAAGCACTGACTTGAACACGCTGATACTTACAAGAGTGTGGCCAATGTCAATGTGAGTCATGTGCTTGCGGGAGTCCAAGGCCTCATAGTCCTTCTGTAGAGAGTGAATCACAACCTGCACGTGAGTCAACAGGACCTGGTTGTTGTAAAAATGCGAAATGTTTGCACAGGTCTGTAAATTATAAAGTATATGAAGCAATGCTTCAGCTCTGCTCTGCTCAGTAAGGTGTCAGCTGGGGCAGTGTGTCAAATGTTGAGCAAATTTTTCCTTTTCAGAGAAAATGCAGACTAGCTGGAGAGAAGTCAAGTGGAGAGCATCAAGAATTATTGGAAGTTTGGAAAAGCCTACCTCACAGGTCATGTGTAGTGTTTAGGCTTTTTTTTTTAATGTAAAAAGCATATTTTGCAAAGAGGAAGGGAATCCTCCATATAAATAGGACAAGAAAAATAGGCTTAGTTGTAATATCAGAGACTTGGGTTACATACTAGAAAAGCCTTCTAGCCACAGAAAAGGAAGAGATGGTCTGAGGAAGTTGTGGAAACATGTGTTAGGGAATGTTCCTAACAACATTTTAAACAGCCAAATGCCAGGAAAGACAATGGGACACGATGGCCCAGCTTGTGAAAACCTAAACTTGAAGACTTAATTACATTCAAGCAGAAAAAGCAGCCGAGGCACTGGAGTGCAGAGACCATTCCCATGTTTCTGCAAAACCTTCCTATGGTTCCGAAGCTGTTTGTCCCTGTCAGTTCTGAGCTGCAGACATTGGCAGGCCCTGCCACACCAGCTGTCAGCGGAGACGTAGCACAGGTGCGAGGAGCACACTTGGCGTTCCTGCCCTTGGGCAGGGAAGAGTAAGGGACAGGAAGAACCAGAACATGACCCAGCAGCAGCTCTCACCGCCAAGCGCATTGCCAGGGCCTTGGAGGTGCTTCCTGGAGGAGCTGTGCTACTTTGGCAGGGAAACAGGCCCCAGTCTGCCTGGCGCTCCTTCAGGTCATGGTGTGCGCCCCACTATGTTCTGAGCTCTCTGTAGAGTGCTTGGAAGAGGCAGCCGGGATAGACAGACACATACTACTCCCCCCACAATAATGTATTTCACCTTCTTTGAGAGGGGAGTCACAGAGTTTTTTCCATGCATCATTGGTTTTCCTTGTCACCCTTATATAGTAGCAGGTAGTCCATTTGACCAGCCATACCTTTTCCAGAGCTGTAAGACATGCTATGCAGTACATATATATAGAGAAAGGGCATTAGCCTGAGATTAAATTATTTGCTGTGCAGATCTTAGAGCAGACTTTTAATAATTGGTGTAAACCCCCACATCAGACACTGAACTGATAAGGCTCTCTAGGATTCCTGACACAACTTTCCTCAGCAAATCCATGGGAAAGTCCTGCAGGACAGCAAGAGCTGTGGTGAATGCTTCATAGGAAAAGTTTGTACCTAGGGAACAGATTCATCTGATAAATCTGATTCATCTGATAATTGACTTTAAACAGAAGCCTTGCAGAAGGAAAAATAGTGACTTAGCTGTTCATAAAGTCCAGGGGAAACATGGACAAGTTCCTCATGTTCCCCAGGAAGAACAGAAGGAGCTGTTTTCTTAATACAGCTGTTTTGAAGTAAAGTCAGGGCATGGGAAGGAGAAGCATTTGGAGGTCCATCAGCATTTTTCCGTTAGTTCTGCATTTCTGCTTGCATAAAGGCCTCAGTTTTCCATGTGTGGAACACTGTTTCCATTTGGGTGCAGTTTCTAATTTTATTGTGTTTGCTTTGTATTTCTCCTCTGCTTATCTTTCTACTCTTTTTCCTCATTCTCCTTTTTTTTTCCCTAATATTGCTGTTCCACAGTTTCATTCAGCCATCTCAGTCACGCTGGGATGTGAAACGAGTTGGTTAATTGCAGTGCAGTTCCTGGCAGGCAGCAGTCTCTCCCTTGCAAGGGGCTGCTCATATTTGATTTGCTCATTTATGTTCTCAGTAGAGAGGATGAGAAAGGACACAGGACTCCTCACTCTTTAGAGAAATGGT